TTACTGTAGATATTAGTGGAAAAGGCACAGGAAGAAAAGTGGAAAGGAATAAGATGTCGACTCACCTTGGCCGAAAAAAATTCTAAGATTTTTCTAAAAAGCTAAAATTTTTATTTTAAGGCATACGGCTTTTTAATTTGAGGCAGTAAATCTAGTGTTTTTTCAGTTGAGTTTTGCAGGCTTGTTAAGTAGTCGTTAAGACCATAAAAAGGATTGCCGGTTTTAGTTTCCTTTAGGACACCTGTATTTTTTTATTTTTTTTAATACATTGCTTTCAGTGAAATTAAAGCCTTCTTTACCTACAGTTTTTGCGTTTGATATTTGGCGTTTATGCATTTTCTAGAAGAAGAACAGCGATATCTTTTATTGTAACGCATTTTTTGTAAATAATGCTTTAAATTCTTAAACCGTTTGCTTGTTCATTGTACTTCTGTTTGCTAGTTTTCGCAGAATTAAGGTAAAAAGGAGGATCAGTTTAAGATTTGGCTTTACATGAACTTTCTTTAGTATATTTTTTTCACTGCTGATAACTTGCAAATGTTGTTTCATTTGTTATAGTGATAGTGATTTTTTCTGAGTAAAGCAAATAAATCAGGCCCTTTGACATGGAGTAATCTCTTTTTTGACAATAGTTTTACCTGTTGATATGCACTACTTAGTTCTCGACGAAGATTAGTTTCAGCTGATCCAAAACTTCAGGTTTTCACTTCAGTTAATGATTCTTGGTGTTTTGATAACAGTGGCTAAAAAAATCCGCAATATTTTTAAAAGATGATTTTAGTGTTTACAGAAACTTTTGCGGTGAACGCGTGGAGCTCGTGGAGCCCGGGACGAACAGGACGTCGCAACCATTCGAAACGAAATATAATGAATCTTTCAGTGAAAAATCGGTTGTCAGAATTGATGGTCCTATTTACCAACAGCCAGTGATGTATAAGTTACTCTTAACCTTTATTGTTTAGCACTTTCTTTTATTTATTTGGCGTGTTTTTTAAGACGATGTAGAACTGATATTAAATTGTGCAGGTATTCTTTATATGCTTATACATCCTAGAGAGCAATATTTTAATTGACGCATATTTTAAGACAAAGATCGCCACAAGAAACCGTGGCCAGCAGTAGTCTATATGCTAATGAGCTCAGCAAGTCTTCCACTTGGGCTGGTTCGCGAAAGCCTGAAGTTATTTATGATCAGCCGTTTACCGGGACCGAAAATGCGAAAACCATTCAGGTTTGTCCTGCCTTTTTTGAAGGTTTTCTTGTTTTTATATTTTTCTTAGAAAAATGGGTGGTTCTCTGAAAAGTTCTGGATCTTTTGGGGCGAAGTGAAAAATATTTGCATTTAGAACGACAAGACTTATTCTTCTAAATTTTGGCAAGACTTTTAAGGGAGAGAACGTAAGGGAGGCCTAATGAGGACATAGTAGTGATTTGTTGGCTTTTCACCATCGCTGGCGGTAAGGGGAAAGTTACTTTAGCTGACTATCTTTGAAAAAGTTTTATAAGTTTAAAGGGATTGGAGATAAAGGGATTAAGGGTGTAAATCAGAAAAAGCATAGTCTTCCTGAGTTCTTCGCCTTTCCAAATGAAATTGCATATAGTTGTTGTAAGTTAGTATTCGCTTGTATTTAAAGCTGTCGTACTTTTCGGCAGTTCCTAACTTTGGGATTTCATCTTGTATAAAACGTATATTATGTTACTTTAGGTACCATTAGCTCCAATAAGTCCTCGAATACTAGTCGCGCAACTTGCCTCATTTAAGGAATTAAATCAACAGGTACTTTTATATTCTTTGAGACTTGTTTATGATTGATCTTTTGACTTGTAATATCGTACTAGCAGATTTTTTTTTTTTTTGAAAGGAATTCTTATTGTCTTAAGTTTTCTTCGGTAATTATATTAGTCGATGAGTTGCGGATCAGACTGAGATTAAATAATATTCATGGAAGCTACTTTATTTAAAGTGGATGAGGCCGTGTGGGCTGCCAGTAGACGTAGTGTTGCTGTATTTTAGTGTTACTTTTTACGATTAAGGACGTATATTTTTTCTAGAAATTGTTGCTTTCTCTACGGCATAATAATTTTTTCTTGAAAACATTTTTTTAAAATAGAACTTGCGTAAAAAACATTGTTTCTGTCATTCTTACGGGATCAGTTTGAAATTCTTCTAAGGTTCGTTCTGTTATGGGTCTGCAAGACATGTGAAAAATACGTAACGGATAAAGATCTGGATCTTTTGTTCAAATGAGAGTTACATTGCGATACTGGTTTGATCAGCTTTCCATACCTGTTTTAGTTGGCGGTGAAACTAGCAAAAGCAGAACGTGATGCACAGCTCTTTCGTCTACAATTAAGCTTGCTGAATGAAAATAACGAAGCTGAGGTGGCGAGTAAAGTTGCAGGCAAGATTTTTCTTTCACATTCATTTAGTAAATTATTCATGCTCTTGTTTTATGACAATTTTCTATCTTCAGAAGTTAATTTTTTGATTTTTACATAACATCAGTGGAGATTACAGATGTGATAGCTGACATAAAGCTTCGAAACTGCACTAATCACAACAGTAAGGTAAATTTTAATGTATTATTCTTTGCAAGTGTGTCGCACTTTGCCTGTTCTTTTTTTTTTAAATCGTAATTTAATGAATAATAATTAAAAGGAAATCTAATAGTTATCTATTACAGCTTGCTGTGAAAATAAAATTCTGGTTTATCGAGTGTAAATAGAATTGTTGGGAAAGAATTGTTCAGCATTTTAAGGTTGAAGGTAGAAATGATGTTGAAACTCTTCGAGAGGAAGCTCTTGAAGCTCTGCTGAAGGAACAGGAAGGCAACGGTTTAAGACCGTTAAGCCCTGCTTCTATCAGAAAAAACTGCGATCGCATGCTTCAATTTGTAAAAGAATATGGATGTTCTATGGAATACAAGAAGGAAAATCGAACTCCTGAGGTCAGTTTTCTAGGTTCGTCAATACTACCTTTCTAGTAGTTAATCTGTTTAACTTTTAATTAACTCTAGAAACGTAATATCTATTCGTGTTTTTAGTATCACGTCGCTTTTTAAATTCTTATTATGTGAGGTTTTCTGCATCTTTTAGTCATTTATATAACGATGAGGTCTAATAATAACAATCTCCTTAAGATAGAGTCCTATATTGCTGTTTTATTTATTTTTACTTCACTTTGACTGCTGCTTTTTATTATTTGTCTTGAAAGGAATTGCAGCTGCACTTGAAGAATGTTCAATACCTGGCCACGTTGAACAGGTTTCTTGAAATTTTTTGAAGTAAACGTAATAGGAGTTCACTTCCTTTTTGGTATTTTGAAGAACAGTCTCCAGTCCTCTTTTGCTTTCTATGCGGAAGTAATTTTTTTTTCTTGTTACTTATAAGATAAATTTTTTCAAGTTTTTGTTCTGACATACAGTAATTGATGCATTTCTTCTTGCTGGTATTGTTTTTCCTCAAATGACTTTCGATTATCAGTTTGTTATTTGTCATAAAAAGATAGTTTACCACGTACATCTTGCTTTTATATGTTCTCTCTGTCGTCTTTAACTGCTTAATATTTTTTTTGTTCAATCGTTGAAAGATGTAAGGTAATAAACTGGAGGTATTTTTTTTCAGATAACTTAGAGCAATTTTAGTCAGCCATTCAGTCAGAGTTACTGATTTATTTGTTAATTTCTCAATATAGGATCTTATAGTAGATATAATGTGGTTGATTTTTAAAGCATGATGCTGTGCGAGGGAATGGTATTTGTAATGAACCAGAAGATGGACGAAGCATCGGTTACAAGCAAAGTTACAACCCTGCTCAGCAGGTGATTCTGTTTTCTGTTTTTCTTCAGATTAATGAGACTGCTGTTTTGCGACTAGTCTGGCAAAGTTTATTGACACAATTATAATGCTCATGTTTTCTACCTAACAGATGAATGGGTTTCTTAGATTTCCGCTCTGCAAGGTAAACTTACTCTTCTTGAAAATGAACTTTCAATGAAGGATGATGAAATAGATCGTCTTGAGAGAGGGATTGCAGACGCCCAACGTTGTGTAAGGTTTTTCAAGATTCCTCCGTGCAGTAATTTGAATGAAATTTACGTGTTTTGTTTTGTTAACCTGATATAGTACTTGCAGCTTTGTTAGAAAGCTAATTTGCTATTATTTTTTCTTATTCTAGGTTTATTCAGTTTGCAAGTCATTTTTTCTTCTGTGTAAAACAGTACTCGAATTGCAGAATCAACAGTTGAACGCCAAATTGGGGATGCTCTCAATGGGTAATACTGTAGAACGACGCGTCCAGGATAAAGAACTTAGTGTTGGTTGACAGTTTACTATTAAAATTTTTTTTAAAGTCTCAGTACTTGGAGGTTGAGCGAGTTCAAAGTAGCGCTCTGGTTTTCTGGAAGTAATTTATCAGAGAAGGTGCAAATTTAGATCACATTTTCTTTTTATTGTTTCGGCATTATAGCAATCTTGTTCATGAACAGCACTTTTTTATAACACCAAATTTTGGTATTATTCCGTTATTTTAAAACAGGAATTAAATCACTAGGAGCTTAAGCTTGTTTGTTTTATATTCTTGGAAGAACATAATTATTTTACAACTTCTTGTTAAAAGCAATGATCAGGTGAAGCACAGTGATCATCAGCCTTATCAGTTAGCATTTTTTTTTGACTAGAAAATGTGATCTTTTTATTTTTATTTTGATAGTCTATTTTAAAGAGCTTACTTTTTCAATCTGATATCCGGTTTTTTTTTTCTCTGTGTGGGTATGGTAAAAAGTATACAATTACGGCAGTTATCTCATTATATAATTGATATATTGGAATTTCTGTACTCATGCATTTCTCCTTACTGTGACTGATACTTTCTAATGTCATTTTTAGCTTTTCTAATGCTCGTTAAGTCTTCTATTTGTAACTGAAAGTAAGATCAAAACAGCGGCGAACCGCAACAATGAACTACTTCGTTTTATTAATTAAGACTGAGAACAGTCTCCCACATAATGGTGGTTTTATGCATCTGATCTCTCTGTGATTAAATTCTTTTGCTGAACATAGTTCAATTTCATACTTACTTTTTTTTTCCTAAATTATCAGATTCAGTTCCAATGAAGTATGGACCTCCTGCTTATGAAATGTTTTATGTGTATTTATAAAGATACCTTGGGAAGAAGAATAAACAAAAAAAATGAACATTAGGAATAATATTGGCAGATTTTGTTGTTTTGATTTCTGTTTGAAAGGCTGGTAAATTTTGGGCCAATTTATTTTGATAATTTATTGAGGAGAATGCAGTAACTGAATTCTGGAAATGTGATACAGCTGTTGAGTTTGCATCGTAAACTAAACTATTTTAGCTGTTAGGATAATCTTTTAGACTTTTGGCTTGACTAGATTTGAAACAATGAACGTTTGGTTCAGAATTGCTGCGGTCTACTAAGTAAACATTGAAACGTTGCAGTCATCGCTTGCGTACACTGAAATAGTAGTGACAAATTAGTTTTTTGAGCTGTAACCTTGCATGAGTTTTTTTAATGATTCGGAAATCTGATATGAAGTTTGGTCGCGCAAAAAAACAAAGTTTAGGACTGTTTATGATTTTGGCATTATACTTAATCTAATTTTATTAACTGGCTATTGAATTTTGTCATTTTGTTCATTTATTGTTTTATCTTTCTTGGATTTATTGGTTAAGTTTTTGAATTTCATTCGGCAATTTTTTTGCTGTTTCATTTCTTAATTTATTGTTTTTAAATTCAGTTTCCCGTTGTCAGTATTTGAAGCTCGTTGAATTGGTTATGCAATGATTCAAAAATTTTAAAGAATTACCGAATAACTCGCATGCTTGAATTAACTGTTTAATTTTTAAAATCATTTGCAGATTCAAAATTGAAGCAATGTTTAAGCAGAACTTTTCAAATTGTTTTAAACATATTTAAATTTATCAAATTATTTGCATAAATCTTTTTTGAAACGGCGGAATTAAATTCAAATAATCACGAAGGAAGTAATTTTGGCAAAGCAGGCTATACTTTATTCTGAACTGCAGCGGTTATTGATGAGTATCGCTCTATAAGAATTCCATTATTGTTATTCTTAAATTGAAAATGTTAATTCTGATGTGTTTAGAAAGATGGATGTCTTAAAATTTTAACATTAATATGACTTTTTGTTTTATTTTGTCTTCTAGCGACAAAGGTAGGGTCAAAAGGTTATTGCTATTTAGTTTGGTTGAATAACTGCTGACAGAGAGTTGTTGAACCTATTTAGCATACTTAGTCTTTTTGCTTTTGTATTTTTTATCTGTAGAACTGCAGTTATATGGAAGTTTTTTTTTTTTTTTTTGCATTTTTATACATACTTTCTCTTATAGTTTAATCATGAGAAACGTTTGAAACGCAACACATTTTTGAGTAAGGCGCAGTGCTTTTTTGACGATTAGTATTTTCACTGTTTTGGGCTTTTTTTTTATTGATTGAAAAATTCTATCTTTCAACAAACTTCTGAACTTTTGGAAATAATGCATTTTTAACTGTTAATATCACATAGACTTACAAACGTACAGCAAACACGTACATACACACACACACATACATACATACATACTTGGAAACATACACACTAATACGAAACTTATATCGAAAGGTGTAGAATTGCAAGGTCTTTTTTTTTTGCTTTTTCTATTTTTTTTTTTTTTTTAATTTCTTTATAGTGGTTTTTTTATTGGAATTTTTTTTCTAATTTTTCTGCTGTTTTGGTAGCAGCAATATTTGGAGGGATTGTTTGCTAATATTGCGGAAGAAAACAAAACAGACTATTGCCTGCTCTGGTTATTTTTCTATTTATGTGCATTATATATATATATATATATATATATATA